CGAAAAACCAATAAATTATAGTGCATTCGAAAGTAGAGATGATGGGCTATCTAACTATGTATAAATCTAAAAATCGATATTTTTGTCGAAAATTCCTTTTTTTTGAGAGGGGGGTGGGCCTTAAGGTGTGCGTGTGATCATTTCGATGGGAGAGATTAGAAAGAGGCATCTAGTACTCTCTAAAAAAAAAAGGTATTTTAAAATACGGAAAACGGTATAACCATTTGAACCATAACATAACTGTTTAAACGTTTTTTACTTTTATCAGGTATTTTTAAAATTTGAAAAAGTCATGATTTAAAAAACCCTGAATTTATTTGGTATTTTCAAATACCTGAAAGGGTTTTTTATGACATGAAGAAACCCCAACTGTTTTTCAGAACATAATTTAGCCGTATTTTAGAAAACGAAAATTAGTTTTTTGATAAGAATACGAAAGTTTTAAACAGTTATGATACGGTTTAAATGGTTATACCCTTTAAACATTTTTCACAGGTGATTATACCTTATTTTTGGTTTTTCTCAAATGGAAAATACTTTTTAGAGTTTTTTTGAAATCCCTTTCTTTTTAGAGTGTAGAATCTATGAAAAGTGAGAGGCACAGTTTTGTCTTAGATTTATTAGAGAATAATCGAGATCAGTTGTGCATGATAATAATAAAAAATTAGTTTACAAATGCATCAATAGATTCGAAAAAACTTTTTTTTTAATTTGGATTTTAGGTGGTATTTATATTGAAATTTGAAAGCCAGTTTTTTGGAATCAAAATTCCTATTTAAATCAGCGTACTAACGTGGATAATCATAGAGTTGAACGTTCCAGTTATTATTTTTTATTTTCTTCACATTTTCTCAGATCATAAATGCTACGTTTTTAGAGAAAACATAAAATAATAAATTTAGGATGTACAATTTGTATATTTCTGATATAATATTTTATAGGTTAAAGATTTCTTTTTCTTATAGTACATATCAATGAAAGATTTATAATAATTAATTAATAAAAAAAGAAAAACACCCCTAAGCACTCTATCAGATGGTCCTAGGAGTATAGAATATAAATAAATTTGTTTTTCTTAATAGTAATAATTACCGGTTCACACACAAAAATTCAATTTATACTCACGTAAGAGAAGTTCTAAAATCATCTAACAAATTTCATCGAGTATTGTGCGAACAAAATAGATGTGCACAAATTAAAGAAAATCATGTACACTAACCAAATAGACAAAGACAAATCACAAATTGCACATCGAAAGAGATGTACGTTTTAAAACTAATGATACAGATTGCACAGTATAAGATAAGGGGGGGAGGAAGGGGAAAAAAACAAAGAAAAAAAAATCTAATGTACATTTGTGCTAAAAGACGGTGATAATGGATGAATAAAGTTTTGTTGCAGGATAAAAGATATATAAATTAGATAAACTTTCGAATGATTAAAGAAGAAAAAAATATGTATCACAGTAGCACTATTATCATCATCATTCTGGTTAGTTGAGAAAACGAGAGAAAAATATATCAAAGTACTCACTGACAAAGAACATTATCAAACAAAATCATTAGACTTTCTAGGATGATTTTACATAAAATACTGAAAAATAAAATAAATCGAGTTTAGATTCACATGCAAAATTCCAGTTTATACTCATATTTTCACTTGGAGAACAGATGAACACAGAGGTTTGTCTAATGGAAAAAGAAATATCCACACACACACACACACACACAAATTAACGAAACATAAAACAAACGAAATAGATGAGCAATTATTAACAATAAATAGGGAAGCACTTTGATTATATTTATCTATCAAACATAGAAAATAAAAATAGTTTTTTACTTTTAAAAGTAACATATGATAAATAAAACGATTAATCCATTCCATGATCTATAATTGGTGGTGGTATTTTTTGTTGAATTTGTGACGGTGTTGACGTTAAATATCCAGCAATAGCAGGACCACTTGATCCACCTGTGATTGCCTGCATATGGGTTGAAGTTTGTATGAATAAATCGTGTCGTTGATCTTTATAGTCATTCCAGACTGTTGATTGTTGTAAAATTTTAAGAATTTGTTCACCATATGTAAGAGATTGTGTCATTAATTTACATGTATCAACTAGATGTGCTTTACATGAGCCAGGTTTTTCTATATCAACTAATGGTTGTCCTAACAATGTTAAAATATAATCAATTAATTGACATTTTAGTGCATCTCTAATAAATTCATCATTATTTGGTATTTTAAATAATGAATGTAAACATTCAGCTATTAAACCTAAATGATCATGTCTAATTGTCATTGCTATTCGAAAACCGGAAATAATTTGTGGACAAGTTGTTGACATTGTTTGAATACACGTTTCATTTTTAGATAACTGATAAAGAATTTTAATTGATGATGCACAAATTGAATTATTATCTTTACATTCTAAACCTTGAATAATTGTTGGTAAAAAACCAATTGATGGTATATGTTCACAAAGTGTTGGTTGAGCATTTAATAATTGCATCAAACATTGTGTTAACATTTCAAATTCATTAACATGAGCTTCAAGTGGATGTTTAATATTTAAAGACCATCGTGTTAATAATTCTGTTAGAAATTCTTTTGGTCGTCTAACAATCCAACCAGGATTTTGTATTAATAATCTAATATAGACACCGCCAATAATCAATTCTGTTTGTGAAATACGTGTTGCTTCATCATCATCTGCTAATAATAGAAAATTATCATCAATAGACCATTTAACTTCAGTTGGATCTAATTTTTGTTTTGAATAAAATTCAGTTAATAATTGACTTATTCGTTCACATGTCATTTCTCTAATATGATCATTCCAAATTAATTCAGGATTTTCATGTTGAGTTTCAAATAATTGTATTGATGTTTCACATGAATCACGCATAGCATCCATAAATAGACTAGGTAAAAATTTTTGTAATATTAAACGAATTCGTGGTCCATGTAAACGATCAGACATTAATTTAGACATAGTTTCAGCTGATTTTTCACGAATATTCGAATTTTGACCATTCGCAAATATATCTTAATTAGAAAAATAATTTTTCTCGTTGTTTTTTGTTATGTTCAATATACTCACCTAGTAGATACAGTAGTCCACCAGATGTAAATAAATCTTTGACAATTTTTGTATTTGAACATAAACAAGCTAAAATATCTAAAACTAATTGTTGTATATCATTTTGAACTTTGGATGGTGATGATTTAAGTGCAAGTAACAAATAGACAATAACATTTGATTGTGATATATCTTGAACACATTCATTTGAACCTGTTATATGTAATATAAGTTCAAGTGCTAATATTTGTGTACGATGAATATTATCCATTCGTAATAAACTAAATAATAATTTAAAATGTCCCAGACACAATGTTTCTATTCCAATATTATTGCGAATAACATTTTTCAATGCTTCTAATGCTTGTTCAATATGCGCTTGTTTTTCTAACTGAATAACATCAACAGTTTTACTACTATCATCCTAAAACAAGAATATAACAAAATTTGATTAGAACTATTGCTGTTTTCTCTGATATAAAACTTAATAATAATAATTATTTACCCCTTGTGGTTGTTGCTGTTGTTTCATTGAAATGAGTGTATTAATGTATTGTGACGATGTACCAAGAAAATCTAATAAATCTGTACAGAATTTTTTTGGTTCTTCTAATACTGTTGTTGGTTGTAAATTGTATATTCGAACGAATATATCTCCAATAATTAATTCATTTTTATGTGCTGTATAACTAAAATTTCGTCCAAATTCATCTATATTCAATTTATATTCATTTTTCATTAATATTTGTCTTGTTTGTTCTAAATATTCGACAAGTTCTTGTCGACATGAATTATCCCAAATCATGTATGGTGTTTCTGTATTTGAATTTAATAATTTTAATAATGGACGATATTTATCTTTATTATCAAGTTGTGATTCATCTGGTTGTATTTTTAACATTTGTTTAACAATATACGATGTTAAAAATGTACAAGATGTATTTAAACAGAAAGAATCTTTATTATCATGTAATAAAGTGATTAACGTTGCCATATAGTCAAATGATAATTGATTATCGATATACTGACGATTATCTCCTTTCTCAATATCCATTTCAATACCGCTTTCTTCTAATGTGTAGTCATAATTAAATAAACCTAAATAAAAAAATATAATCTATTATACATAAAAAAAAAATATATATTCAAGATTTTTTATTTTAGAAATTTAGTGGAATAAGATGTAGACGAAAAAAATGTCCTTTTTTTTAAGTATCAATGCAACTTTCTTCTTTTTTTCTTTTGATGAAGCATCTAGTATGGTTAGTTAGACTACATTTACAAAATATGATGACGAAAAAACAAGTATCATTTTTACCTAGACATAAATAAACTAATAATCCATGTTTATAAAACATGTCTCTCAATCTTTGATCTTGTATACACAATGATCTTGATGCTTTACATAAAGAGGTACATAATTGTTTCAAATGTGTATAATTAAAACAATGACAAATTTCTTTTAATATACATTGTAAATCAGTATTGACAAATAAATCTCGACATTTTTCAAAATGTCCGCATACACCATAACATAATGCTGAATAATTAGAAATTTTAACAATAAAATCATCGGATTTTGATGCTTTTGTTAATACACCAGCACAACGTTGAAATACTTGAGTTAAAATTTCTAAACCATTTTCACGACGTAATTCTTCACAATTTAATTCCGAACAGTCTAATGAAGAAAAATAATGATAAAACATTAAAAATATTTAATTCATAGTTGGAAAAGTAGGATGTTCTCCTGTTTATTTATTCATCCTAGTTTTCGATTTTTCTCGTCTAACTGAACACAATCAACAAACCCGTGTATTTTTCTTTTTTGAACACGAGCAAACACGTTTCCTTTCTAGAACAGACATAATCATATTCAAACTCTTAAATAGAAATTAACACTTTTCATTATCTCCAACGCATCTGTTGTTGTTCAAATTTTTGATTGCGTTCAGTGACCCCAAAAATAGCCAAAAATGCCACAATAGAAGGAAATTATAATGGATGTGTTTTTCGGACTTTTCATCAACTGAATGCAGATGGATGGAAAAATATGTTATGGAGAGGTCCGAGACATCTCATTTTATTCAGAAACATTTGCTCTATACAATGAAGTTGTTTCAAAACGTTTCTTAATCGAATTGAGGGACTTGGTTTTCTAAGGGTTTGGTTTTTGCAGAGACCCAGATTATAAGCAATTCTGATGAAATCTTTATATGTATGATACTAGATTGAAAATTCTTTTAGCTATTCAAATTATTTCTCAGATTTGTTCGAGCTATTATGATGGACGAGAAAAATCGAAAACTAAGGTGAATGAATAATTTCAGGAGTTACTGCAATTGTAAAATTATTCTAATCCATGTTTAATTTTAACATGGTTTATTTTTTCAATTTGAACAAGGCTTACCTAATGTGTAGTAGAGTAATTCAATGCTTATAGGTAATAAAGCTGTTTGTGATGTATTTTCTAGACTAAACAATTGATCATTTTTCCATTCTTGATCTAATATTCGAATTAACATTGGATAACCAGCATATTTATATTCACTCAATATTTGTTTATACCGACGATATAATATTGTTTGTGTTTTTAATAATAAATATAAATTAAAATCATTTGGACCTTGTTTAATACGTGAAGCTAAGCAAAGAAATTCATATGCTTTATTCACTTTAACAAACATTTCACGTCCATCCGGATTTTTATCTGGATGATATTTTTGTGCTAATTTAAAATAAGCTTTACGAATTGAAGCTTCACTTGGTTGTTGAAACGTTGATTGATTATCACTTTTTCCCGATTCATTATTGTTCGTAGTTTGTTGTTCTTTTGATTTGATTTCAATACCTTGAAATATACAATTAAGAAAATTAATCAAATATTCAATTACGAACACATCACCGTTCATTATTTAGCAATATCAAGAATATCAATGAAAAAATGATGGTTTCTTCACTAACACAATTCTCCTGGTGAACGTAGTTGATTACCGAAAATTTAGTCAGTATCAACTTTATGAAGTACGTGTCCTAAGTACATTCTAGACACGGGTGGGATCGAGACAAAAAAGTTTTTTTACCGGGATCGGAACCGGAACTACAAACTTTTTTCCTGGACCGATACTGGAACTAAGATTTCTTTTGACAGTTGCGTAAAATCAGCTAAAACTTGGTCTTTTCTCCGTGCTTAAATAGAAATGTTGTAGAAATTCGTCAGGAAGTCTTACGGTTCTTTTCTAGGCATTGACTTTTCATCCCACATCATGTAAACTTTATTAAAAACCGGGATCACAAAAACGCTCCGAGACCGGGATCAAAAATATTTTTTTATCGGGACTGAAAAGCCTTAGTCTCATCCATTTCTAGTATATTCACTAGGATAATTAGACCAGTTTAAAAATAACCTACCTAAAACTTCATACGCTTCCTCAACAGACATATCAGATGGTTTCTTTTCAATTTCTGATTTCCACATTTGTAAGCAATCTTTTAATAGTGCAATGGGATCTTTAATTGGCCAATCCGGAAATTTTTTTTCATCGCATAAATGTCTTAGATAATACTGATTACAGAATAATTCATTCTCTAATTGTGGATAATTTATTACTGGAATATTACAATACTGATAGACAGCATAAATATTCGACATTAAACGAGGAGAATAATCAGCTAAAATAAATAAAAAAATAATTTTACTTAGATAATAATGAAAATATCGAGAAAAAAAAATAGAATTCTTTGTTACCTAGATGTACGGCTATTTTTTCTATCATTAAACGACGCATTTCATTTGACCATATTGTTTCCGGTTGATCATATTCACCTAAAAATAAATTTTTAAATTTAAAATTTTTTTTCAAACACTATATACAAGTGTACAGTAAATAATGTAATCATTTGAATCATATTTCTTTAATTATAATTTAAAAGTATATTTTAGTTTGTTACCTAAAAACATTTGTGCAAATTTTTCTGGTCCATAATTTTCTAAATAACAAATCATTGCTTCTGGTAACATATGTCCAAGTACACTATGATAAATTAAATCATTTTGTTTATTTTGTGATGTTTGTTCTAAATCAGAACGAAATGCTTGTTTTAAATGTGAATATTTGAGAAAATGACCAATAGGTAAAATATTTGATCCTGTATACATAAGAATAAAATAAAAAATGCCCGACATATAAAATGTTGTTAACATTGGATTATCTTGAATTAATAAATTTAATAGAACAACAACTTTTTCAACAATTTGTGGATCAAATGTTAATAACAATTGAACAAGATGAGGTAAACATGTTGAATCATTGAGTATACGTTTAATTTTTGGTAATGGACGTATAATTGAATTTGTTATTAAATCACGACTTGGATAATAGTCACACATTTGAATTAGAATATCTAATATTAAAGCACACATATCACTTTCATTGAGAAGTGATTGACCACTTGCTAACATAGTCCATTTTAATTGAGGTATACGTTCCATTAATTTCCAACCTTCCATACCTTAAGAAAAATCAAGAATCATATGTATATATTAATTATGACATTGTATTTTTTATTCTTACCTTGTGCCCAAAATTTTGTTTTTGTATCAACAATTCCTTCTTGATAAAATTCTTTTAGTTCTTGAAAACTATAGGGACCCAATTTTTCTTTATCTTGTTTTCCATAATACCATTCTTTTTCACTGTCTCTATTCATATTTGACGATGATTCAATGACATTTGTCTGTAATGGTACACATGCTCTATTAATATGAAGATGAGCGAGACACATTAATTGTATGAGTAATTTAATACCACCACAGTCAATAAGATCACGAACATTTCGAATATTTAAAATTAATTTTTGTATAAATAATAGTAAACGATCACGTTCTGTACGATCAATACATCGATCTAACATTTGTACAATTGAACGAGTATCATTAAATGGGCCAATTTGTTCAGCATATTTTCCATAGACAATTGTCATTGCTTGTAAACACATTGATTTCATTGATGAAGATTTCATACCGGGAGCAAGAGATGTTGATGATAGTAAAAAACGATGATATAAATCATTAAAAAATTCGTGCGGTTCATAATTACCTAAAAGAAAAAATGTTAATGAAAAATTATTTACCATTATTTTATAGAATGTTTACCTGTTAATTCATCATTATTTGTCGATGATGTTGCTTGTTTTATTAATTCATCTTGTTCTAATAAAAGTCTAAGATAAACAGTTCCTATTTTAATTTCATCATATAAACACGTATATAATACTTCAAATTCTTGATAATTCCAAGATATCAAATGTCCATGTCCAATATCTTTATCTATATTAAAATTTCTTATTTCTTGTTCAATTGTTTCACGTAATTCTTCTCTTGTCTTATTATTCCATATTAGTGTTGGACGAATATGATCAAATTGAAATTTTTGATAAAATAATTTCCAATTTTTTTCAGCTTTAATACGTTGACGTGGTTTTCTTAATACAATTGGTTTATCATTATCATTTGATTTTTGAATTTTTTTTGATTGTTTTAATTTAATACTCCAATGTTGTAAAAACGTTTGTACATGAGTTTCAATTACTTTTACTTGAGTAGTATTACGAATTTTATTAGCTGTTTGAGCGATTGATGAACCAATATTTAAACCTATAATTTATTTAATTTAATTAATGACATTAAATTTAATATTATTTTAGATATTTACCTTTTTGTTGTTGTTGTTGATGTTCATTGGCCAATTTTAGATTATCTCGTGTAATTGATTGATCATCTAAATCTTTTTCTGGTTGTTCATTTGAATCCAAATATGCTAATAATCCAAGAGGAAATATTCGTTTTAATAGTCCATATGTGGTTGGATGACCCGTTGACCAGAGAGCAATCAAATTTTGACTCAAATATTTTAATGGTAATAAACGAGTATCTGACGATGATGTATAAAGAGCTCGTAACAAATGAATGGGTAATGCACATTCACTCAATGCCAAATCTTGCATATGAGCTGAAATTTCATTTGAACCTTCTTCAATAATTGATTTCATTATTAAACCAGCACCTTTAACAATGGTAAATGATGAATGTTGAAATAATTTAAAAAATGTTCGACCATTCGTCGAGACTAATTCTAATAGTACATCAAAATGTTGACCATCTAAATAAACGATAAAAATAATAATATTTTTGTTACTAAACAAAAAAGATGAATTTTTTTTTCATATTATACAACGAAGTGTACCTGTTGTTTCTGAAAATGGTTGACATAGTGTATACGTTAAAAAATCCAAAAAAGATGAAATAATTAAAGAACCAGTATTTTGTTTTACATTTTTTAAAAATATATCTAATAAAGTTTCTAAGAATTTTTTTGATGATAATATTGATGATTTATTCAATTGTTCTTGTTTAATATCGTAGTCTAAATGAATGGGTTGTAACAGAGTATTTAACATTTCAATAGCAGCACATGTAACATTATCATCGCCTAATTTTAAGGATTTAACAATTTTAACTCCAATACGTTCACGAAATTTTGGTAATTGAGTAAACGCTTGAAAACCAGCTTTCGATGCTAATAAACGTCTTAGGCAATGATATTGATCTTCTAAATATTCAGCATCTTGAGTAGTTGTGTCATTGTCTAATAGGGAATTTAAAGCTGTATGAATTAACTTTTCCTTATTCTCAGCAAATAAGCCTTCACTTGTAACAGCATTTATTAGGCCACTGTAAGGAACATTAGCGTTAAAACGTTTTAATACTTCTAAATATGTGATCGTAGGTGAGAATGATGATATTTGAGACGGTGCTGGTGATGACGGACTAGGATCGTTCGATGTTTGACCACCTAAAACAACGTTGTCAAAAGATAGTGCTTTATATTTAAAGAAAAAGAGTGTACCTGTTGGTAATTGTACTAAAAATTTTACGTGTTGAATTTCAACATCATCATCGACTAAAGTTGTAAACGGTGCAAATCGTTTTCCTCTATCCGTTAAGGTTGTTTTAACACAACAATCATTGTTTCCTGATGATCTAACACTGTCGAGTAATGTTGCTAATAGAATATCTCTTTCAGAAGATGTATATTTACACCGTTTTCCTCGTAAATATTCAACTGTAAATAACTGTAAATTATCGACATGCCTAATGAGAGCATAAACTTCAGTCAATGGTTTTAATGTACAAACGTTATAAGTTTGTGGGTCACGTTCTAACAGACATGTTTCAGTTATACACAGTATACGACGAACGCCCACATCATCCTGATGACGAGGCGTATATTTGTAAACGACAAATTCAGCAAATGAAGTCAAATGTTCATCGGAACTATAACGACCAAAACGATTGAGAACATAATCATTTATTGTGATAGGTGTCGCAGATTTTTTATTGATCTTCAATGTTATACCTAAAAATAAACAACAAGAAATCAAGTACGCTATTAACATTTCTATACTAAAATGAGCACTGACGGAAAAGAAAATACAGGGAATAATTGCAGCAGAACTTTTAACAACTTGGCGGCCAAAAAATAATTAACCTTTGCTGAGCATGCAGCGTATGACATCCCTGATCGTATACTCGTTTCTATCATATCATTTTGCAGTTGTACAGAACTAGAAAATAGTAATTACTCAACGCTGTCTACGCGGTAGCAATGATCCATTTTCTACACAATCTACTATCTATTTGAAAATAGAATGATCGTCGCCATTTTTTGAATAAGTCGAGAACAAAAAGTGATAGAAACATGCAGTTTTCGGCATTCGATCGAGGAGATATTGAGAAATAAATCTATGAAAAACTTGGATTTCTCGATCAAGTCTATCATGACGTACCCCCGACAAAAGCTTCCCGTTTCAAAAAAAAGGAATTTTGAATTCTGAGACGTTGATTCGAACCTCTAGACCGTCTTCTTTAAAATTACACAAGTCCCAGGTCGCTGACTATCATGGTTCTCGGATAGTATATGTTTTACTGGGTGTTACCTATCTTAGTTCGGCTAGCTTTAATAATATTAAAAACAACTCCAAAAAAGTCTCGTGGCAATGTTTGTTTTCAGAAGGAAATCTAAGAGCTTAGTGGAACTCCTAGCGAGTGAAATCAACCATTTGTGGCTATTTTCGCCGAAAATTAAAAAACTCATAATTCACTCATAATCGATCTAAACTACGTCAGTATTTCAACATATACTCCGTTTTGTCTGTTGAACCTATGGATTTTATATATGTGCCTGCTATCGATTTGCGCTAGGTTCTTAGATTTTCTTCTGAAAACAAACATTACCACGAGACTTTTTTGGAGTTGTTTTTAATATTATTAAAGCTAGCCGGACTAAGATAGGTAACACCCAGTAAAACATATACTATCCGAGAACCATGATAGTCAGCAACCTGGGACTTGTGTAATTTTAAAGAAGACGGTCTAGAGGTTTGAATCAACGTCTCAGAATTCAAAATTCCTTTTTTTTGAAACGGGAAGCTTTTGTCGGGGGTACGTCATGATAGACTTGATCGAGAAATCCAAGTTTTTCATAGATTTATTTCTCAATATCTCCTCGATCGAATGCCGAAAACTGCATGTTTCTATCACTTTTTGTTCTCGACTTATTCAAAAAATGGCGACGGTCATTCTATTTTCAAATGGATAGTAGTTAATTAAATCAATAATCATTAGAATTGCAATATACTTCATGACGTGATACCTAAAGTTTGTTGTGCCAAATCAGCCATTACTGTTAGTAATTCATCTGTTTTCTCACATAAAAATGCATGTAATCTTGAAAACTGTTTATCTTGTAAAAGAAATCCTTTCGCAACATCTCCAGCTGCTAATAGCTGAATTTGTTCAATGTCTTTATAATCATATGAACATAAATAACGATTCGTTTGTGCATCAATTTGATCTAAACAATAGGTTTGTACACGTAACAGAATCGACGGCCGTTGTGATGACCAGTGTATTTTCGATCCTGAATATACGCGAGGACTTATTGCAGGTTTCTCAGAATAAAATAATGTTTGAAAACGTAGTGCATCTGTTATAATGTCTGAACGATATTCACACGAAAATTTCATATTATCCGATTTTCTTTGTTTACGAAATGTTAATACATATTCTGGATGTTGTGTTGGTTGGTGACTACTTGTTGAACTTGAGGCTGCTGATTTTGTTACATTAGGTGTGAGACTAATGACGTGTTCATATGGCCAAGTATTTGTTACTTCTAACGTCGACGGTTCGTACGTTGTTATACCATGGGTACCGATTGAAAATATTCGTTTATATTTTCCACGCCATGAATGTTTTGTGACATAGTAACAGGATAAATCACGATTATCAGTAATTGACTGTTGTTGTTGTAGCTTCTTGCTAGTCATTTTTAATGGATATTACATTAGAAAAAATTATAATCTGAAAATAAAAAGCAGCAAGCAATAATTGATTATTTATTACTGTGATGTGAAAGTTTATCATATTTCGCTACTCACAAGTCTCAATAACCACATATATTTAGCACAAATCTTTCGCGAAATTATCCAGATCCGATTAAAATGTTAAATACTAATTTTAGTGAGCTGTTATGCCGTCAATAGCTTAAAAAATACTAATAATTCTTCAAGAAATACTGGTGACATGCTTCGTTGCGTGAAAAATTAAATGCGTTACAACTGCAATGGTTACTTCTTTTCTTCAATGAAATAAAATGAATACGATACATTTCAATGAATTTTATCATTTATTAATTGATTCAAGTTGGTTTGAATAGCCAATAAATTTCTGAGAACACCCGATTGGTTACAGAACTATGTGCTAAACATTACTCAGCTAGGGAAGGAGGATATTACGGCTGAAAGAAAACATTTAGAAGATCGTTTCATCAATAATATTAAGTATTTGTTTAACTTAAAACTACACTAAAGTAACTATGTGCCACATTAAGCCATAAAAATTAAAAAAAATGTTGTAAATGGATAAACATTCGAACAATTTGTAATTTAAATGTAACTTCATAAATATATATAAACTTTTTTTCATCAATTTCATTTCTAATTCAATCTAAAACGAATAAAATCAATAAAACGATAGCTTCTGTGATTAACAGCACTCTGATGCAAGAGAATTTTTTCGACTGAGATGATCTTCTTGATAACACGACAGACAACTTAATTGCGTGACATTGACTTCCAACTACACATTGAACGATTTATCAGAATTACTTGAATCCTACGTGACAATCAGCAATGGACAGGACAAATTCAATACCTGTATTAACCCAAATATTAACCGCATTACGAATCTACACTACAAGAGCACACTAAAAGGTAAACGATGCCATACATGAATTCAGTAAAGATACCATTCATAGAATAACTCATCATACATCACATATCTTATTACAAAAAATCGCTGATTTTATTACATTCCAACTGTTGACAATGATTGATTCAGTTAATCAAAGGCTTCATACTATATAAATATAAATAACTAATCATAGTCATTGGCTACACTCATATTCTGATAGAATGATCAAAAAAACCTGTGAAGTCAGATATGTAAATCGAAAAAATTACCACTCTATAAACTGTTAGATTAACAGTAATATTGGTTTAGTAATCAGAAATACAGTGAACAAACGACAAGCTTTTTTTATTTTTTTTAAAATTTCAAATCAATTAGCAATTGTACAAGAAATGAACAATAGATTAGGTGGTGTTCGCGACTAGCAATCTGCTACATAGAAACGTTCACACTGTTCTCAGCTTATCCATTTTGCCAGAAATAAATACACATAAAATTAAGGACAAAAAGTTAAATATTGATGAAGTAATTGTTCTATCTATGCAGTTAATATTCTAATTATTTATACAAGTTTGAAATTCAAAAGAGAATAAACAAATATTGATGAAGTTTTGCTGAAAGTATTTGCTAAAAATAACGTTATCATATATAAAGTCGCCATTCAACGAGATTGATAGATAATTATCTAGCTTTAGAGATTTTTCTTTGACAGTAGTCATCTGTTCCATTCGGGGATTTTCATATATGTTGGACACCCAATGACAATCGGTTCACAGTGTTTTAGCTAACAATCAACTCAAACTAAAACTCGATGTTCATCGAACTGCCAACTATTGTTTTGTTTTTTAGTCGTCATGTTGAGTATCAAACGTCATCGAACATTCACGTAAAACTTCTGGATATGAAGAGAATGTTCAATCTGTCTGTGCTACTGTCATACGTAGTTCTGTTGTTTATTTCCTTTTCCATACAGCCTAACTCTAGCCTATCATTAGTTGTGGAACGCCAAATACTCAAAGCAGAATAACTTTATTATACAAGTACACTCTGTAACTTGATGAAACGACTCCTAGCTCTAGATCGTATATATAAGTACGTAAAATACTTTCCAAGAAAAGAAAGTTCATACTACATAGAGCACAGAGTCAATAATCTACTAACCTTAGCTGCATTTCATCAATTACGATTAATGAATTAAGTAATGTTGTTGAAAAGCATCAGAATCGAAGAAAAACCAGTAGTTCTCTGATACACATATATTAATTACACAGTTGCACCAGACAGAAGACTAGCAGCTTTTAGCCCGTAGAAGCAGATTATTGAATTGTGGATAACGAAGTTTGTAGTAAAAAAATTAAAGATACTCGCTGTATCATTATTCATTCGTTCTGACAATGTACGCCGAAAGAATAAGGAGTTTAAGTAACACAAATAGATAATGATTGACGTAACATGATCATCTTATTCGTTCTTCTTTCTATCTTCACCTCTACTTCACTTTCGAATTTACAAATGTTTTTATTTTATTTATTTGTTTTATTTTCTAGGTCGCACGACGTGTTAATATAAGATTTTTTTTAATTTAACAGCATCAATTCTGAATCGTTTTTCTTATGAGCGAATCAGATATTAGCTAACTAGAGGACGTTAAACAACATCAAATACACCTGTCAATTTCTACAAGATAATAGTTATATAATTGAATTTTCACACGAAGAATAAAGATGATGATTTAACCTACCTTTTGAAGAAGAAAAGAATCATCTATTTGAGAAAAAAATACCAAGTTTTTCTCATTTAGTGATTGACAGTAATATCTCTGCTAACATAAGGGTACCTGCTCTTTCTTTGACGAAAGTTTTGATTCTTAGTTAAACACAGCCTGTAATGTAGAAGAAAGCCGAGACTAGATTCCCAGTATTCTACGACCATTTCTGCAAAAGTTATAAATTTTGTACGTTTTGCTCAAGATGCTGAAAAAACTTAATTTTTTACCACAGATGCTTCAGACTATCTCAGATTCCAAATTCTAAACTACTGTCCAACACATTCTACTTTTATAATGGCTTATACAGAAAAAAGCTACCATACTTAAAAAACTTTTTATTTTATAATGTGTGAATGGAAATTTCGTAGAATTTGTTTTCTTTCCGGTCTGGACTAGAGGTAAGACAGTTCCAGTTCAGTCCTTTTGAACGGAAACTGGTACCAGTTCTTTTCAAAAAATTAAAATTGAAATAAAATCAATGAACCTACTTACATTGACTTTGTATAATGCGCCAGAGGTAGATGGTGTGACTAAGCCAAGTCAATATAACTAGCTACATCGATTTCATTTTATTTTGAATTCTTGAAAAGAACTGGTAATCAATTCCTGTTCAACAGGAACTGAACTGGCGACCAGTTCTTAAGAACTATAGGAACTGGAACTGTCCCACATCTAGTCTGGACGTTACCATTTAATTAGGCGGATCCACAAAACCATGAAATAAAAGCTCTTGTGCTAGTGCAAGGATTTTAACCGCAAAGAATCACCAGACAAGGAAAAGTGTTAAGTATATTGTATACTATAATCACGATAAGTACTCTAGTGAATGTACTTGAGACAAGGTACTTAGACAAGTACTTGGGTAAGTAATGTCCAGAGTACCTGGAGTTTTTTCGAAGTAAAAAAGGCACTTATCAAGTGATTTAAGGGACATAAATACGTGATTAGCTTGACAAGTACTTAAGGAAGTACAAGCGCAAGTTATATGATAAGTACTTGCAAATTGTCTGCAAGTTTTTCAGGTAGTTTCCAGATATCTGGCAAGTACCGGTCATGTCCTTCTCTTCGAGTACTTGAAACACTGGGCAACTACTTATCTACTATCCATTCCAAAATACACTGCCGGTGAGCATTTTCTGAATAACTTTTGATAGGAATGAGATAGAGACCTACAATTTTCGCTATTCGATAGCCAAGACTTGAGCGGAACTTTTTGCAAGCGGAAATAACTTTTGTAAAAATTTTAAAGATCGGGTTTCCAGAGGATCTTTGGAAAAACAGTCCGTTCTCAGAAAAATAACATACGATGTTAGTAATTTTTTGCATGCGTAGATAGTTCGGACGTTACTCTACAAAATTATGCAAGTCCCGGCTCTCCAGCCATCTGCGTTCGGATAGAGCTCGCTTTCCCCGAGCACGTGTCTATCTCCGAGCAGTGTCTATATCAAGGAACCTTTCAGGAAAGACTTAAAGGGTGCCATATATTGTTGATTATGCAGAAAAAGTGATCCAGTAGAACACTAAC